CAATCCGATAGATCTTATCCCATCTTTTACTGATTAGAAATGCAGGAGAACAAAAGGAGATGACGAATCTGTGGGCTTATCTTCAAATTAAATACAGCCCCAAAACTGCCCACTTAGGATAAATTTCGTAGTATATGCAAATATTGGAACTAAGGAGCCAGTAGAAATAAGGGAAAAGGAAAATGTGCAATCTTTGAGTATATTCTTATCCCTAAGGCTAAGTTGGGACAAATCAAGTATATGCGTTGTTTGTTTCACCAGTTGTTTGGAATTTGGAGAGTCCTCTTTAGATCTTTCGATGATCTCGAAGGCCTTTTACTTTTAATTCGATGACTTGATTCCACGCTTTTATTCAATTGACTTTTCTCGAATTACAGTCTTAAGTATCACTTTCTCCTAACTGAAATCTTAGTTATATTCTGATTGAAATATACTATTAGGTCGATAGAAGAAGGACAGATTATTGTCGCCAAAGGAAGTAGGCATTCGATGTTTTGCATTAATAAGTCGAGTCTAGCAATTTTTCAGGCGTTAGGGGCGCCGTTTCCATTTTTTGGTGACTCAATTGTCACATTTTCAGGCCACCTTACAGAAGATTCGCCCAATTTTATCTCTTTTTTAATTAGAGCTTCTAGATCGATTCCTCTAAATGACCGTTTGGATGAAATAAATAAATAAATAAACAAATAAACAAGATGAATTTATTTTAGACGCGCTCTTTGTTTATACTTTCCTGACACGATCATATAGTCTACTAGCCAGTCCCTCTTTTCATACTAATGGAAGGGATTTCATTGGAAACAGACATGATGGGATAATCGCAAATCCTTTTTTTAACCTCGACAAAATTGGGATTTCTTTTTGCACATACAAAACACGGATCTTCACTCGTTCGTCTGCCTTCACTCATTCCACTATTCTTATCATTTTACACGGAGCCATGGTCACGATTGTTAGCCATTAAGCATGACAGTGTTTGCAATTTGACCGTGAGAACACATAACTAAAGCTCTGCTTTCTGTGCGAAAATGCACATATTTGGTATATACTTAATTTGCTAGTAAAAACCTCATATCCCCAGAATACCTAACGGTATTTTTTTAGGCAAGCAGAATACCCCAAATGCATCTTTCTTGTTTTCCTTTCCTATACTTTTTGAAGTATTAACTCTGTTTTGTGCAGTCATCCTAACCTTGTCATGTTTATCGAGACAATTTTGCACAGGAGCCTGCTTTAGAGGATAGAACCTCTAAATTATCCATTAAACATCTTCAGCATTTACGCCTGCATCTCTTTCGCTTAGATACTCGCTTTGCAATGTTAATGAGAAGTATCATTTTTTCGTAAGAGGCTAGGCGAAATGCTATTAGTCCAGTAATTTGAGTATTGTTTCGCTACGAACACTTTGTCATCAATTATCTTCTGCCATAGATACTGTGAGATTACAGCATTAGTATCGGCATCAGCAAAATCAGGTAATACTCATACTACTAATATGTTTGGTACTAAGAACTAGGACCACCTTAGCTCGCTTTCAGTAATGCACGACCTAATAGTTGAGTTCGCGAATGGGTAAAAGCCCCTGCGATTCCATTTAACCTCAATAGACCTTGCTTGGGTATCATGACAATCGGATCTTGTTCGTCAAGCGGCGACTTGTGGCTACTCGACCACACAGATCGAATGCTAGTGAGTCACAGGGAAGATGAGACTTTTAAGGCAAGCCTTTATGAGTTGTGTTCATCCTATTTCGTTTATGATGAAGGACTGGTAGTTGAATTTTCCCACAATGATATGATTAGACCTTGTGTTTCAATTACATTTTACAAGGTTTTGCTTCAAAAAGGTATTATCATTCCTCGTCTAGGTCATCAGCAGGCTTAGCAAGACTTGAAACCTGTCAGTACACGTTTGCTACTATGTCACACTGCCACGAGTGCCATTGGGCCTCATAGCCAATTTTGAATTTCAAGGAAAACCAGGCCTTTTCCTATATCATATTCTGTGGTGGGAAAATTCAACTAGCAGTCCTTCATTATTTCAAACGAAATAGGATGAGCAAATCTCATATATCTGATTTGCTGGTAGTCTCTAAAGCCTACTTACCAACGAAAAATAAGCCAGGCTTTTTCCAATCCACTTTCGTGGAGGTGGGTTGGAGGTGGTAATAGTTAATTATAAGCAACTCAAATATCAGCTCTTCTTTCACCTTAAGCGATCTTAGATGATGCCAGTCCTATAAAAGATCTAATGTAGTTTCAAAGATAACTCAATTCTGTCATAATTACAGAAGTTAGCATTCTCGCCTGGGTCAAATATTTAATAATCAGTTAAATACTGGGCACACAGCCCTTATGATCGGGCGAATATGATCTACTTGTTTACAAACCTTCATTTCCTGTTACGGTGCCACGTTATCTTGTGGAATTTGTATCTCTCTTAATGGCTATGCTTTCCATGCTGACTTGTGCTTCCCGCGAAGTCGGCAAGATCCTTAGCCTGGGAACTGGATGGCCTCTGGAGGCATAGAAAGCAGTGAAATTTTCTCACGTGAACGATGAATTTTCATTCTTGTTGCATAGAGCTTGTTTTTTCATTTTACCAGTTTATTCACTAGACGAAGAGTTGTTCAGAATAGTCTTTATTGCAAATCAACCAATGCCAGATATTACGTTCTATTGTATTTTAGTGCCTTTCTTCTTAGCCGAAACTTTATAAAAAATTTGCAAACCGTTGTGCTCTCATGGTGCGCACTTAGCATTAACCCCTAAAACGTATCAAAAGAAGAATGTTGAAAGATCTTTAGATGCCAATTTATGGGCATATTGGCTCATTTACTGACTTTCATTATGCACATTGAGACATATTGCCCAATATTTTCACTTGTTTACGAGGATTTAGCATGGAATATTAAGTTACACCTTTGTGGTTAGAGTAACGAAATTGAGTCTCTCGCTTTTACTATTATAAAATTCAGGCTTTTTTCAAGGTTGCATTAACGAATGAGGGTGTTTGAATAATAATGACCTACATCAATTCATGTGATAGCATCTATGTGAGGAGACGCCTGTGAAATGCTGAGAAGGGATAGCCTGAGATCATTTTTTCTTCTCTCCAGTTTCAACGTATGGATAAATTTTGCATTAGTTGATAGCCGCTCAAATGAAGGCATAATATCCCACAATTCGGATGAGTTAGTGAAGTCTGGGGAGCTCTGCACACGATCATCCTGAGGTCTTGCACAATATCTGTATGCTCCTATTAGCCTGTTAGATAAATGTTGCATTGAGCTATTTTGTAAATTGTCATTCTCCAATCCATTTTGCTGTCTTTTAAAATAAAAATAAAATATATTTTCTTGGTTTGATTTATGCTCACCCCACTTTTTCAGCTTTATTAGCATCTTTTCTATCATCGTGTTTAAATACTCTTTTCAACACTGGTTTACATTTGAATCTTACTGACCGTTAACCGTCAAGTTATTCGTTATTTGTCCTACATCATCTTTTATCTATTTAGTTCTATCATTTTTCAGGTTTAGTGCACTAGCCATGTTTGGTACGCAATTTTGTATACTAACTTCTCTTTTTGACATTTGCTCCTAAGTGGCTCAACATCTCTTTTTATATTTATTTCTATAGTGTGTTTAAAGGTTGTTTATACTGGAACTTTGCCTAAATCTATGTCCTTGTCACAGGAAAAAAGTTCACTTACCTTTTCCCTGAATAAACATCAGCCTTATGATTATTTCGGGGCAATTATTGGGCATGGTGATATCGATTTAGCACCAAAGGTTTTGCTGCCTCGATTAATACTCCCAACGTGACAGGGCTTATTCTGATTTTTCGTTATACTTATTATATACCTGTCTAACCTGTTGGGAAGGAAAATCTTAGCCATTGCTAAAACGTGGGCTGCTATTGAACTGAAAACTTTACATATATTCAGACAAGCTTTTCAATACATTTGACAGCACAAATAGACTGCATTTTTATACTATTTGCTCTGATTGCATTGGAATTTCATACCCTGGGCTTTCCATATCGGGCTCAGCCAAGGCCTCTAACTCCAGTCCCCTTTTACCCATCAGGTCTTTATTACAAAGTGAATATTTTCATGTATATAGGATTAATGATATCGACACCCGTTTATTTGCTTCAAAAGTTCATTAATGTTTTGAAAGTTACTATAAAAATTTTATAACGACCAAGTAAAGTCTTGACACGACTTTCCGTTTCAAAGTAAAAGTTGGTTGGAAGAAATTGGTAAAATGGTCTCACCGGAAACCGAAGGAGGATTGGCGCGTTGGGAGGACTGTTGAATTGTGTGAACAAGTCCTCAGCTCATCGTCCTGCGACACCGATTGAACTGTGCTAAGCTTTCGTCTGTATTGCGACAGACATCATCAGAGCAAGAATCCATACGTTACGAAATAGAGCAATAATATGCTGAATTAAGAGGAAAGGTGGCTGGTTGCAACCGTAGTCGCTTTTTTATAGACATAGTCTTGCAATCTTAATGAGGCATCCCATGATTTGGTTGGCTCCCTCAAACTTAATATACATGTTTGTAGGTAATTGAAGTTAATTCATGAATCGGAAGTGCATTCGGTGGTAGTTGTTTCCTTACACAAATAAACTAGTGTACAATCCTATAAAGTTGAATCATGCTTGCGTTTGTGCTATTGCCTATTGTGCGTATGCAATGTTCATTTCATGGGAACTGTGATAGTCCTAGATAGACTCGATGCTAATCCAGCCTCTTATTCAGTAGTTCTTCCTGTACTCCCTCTCTCTCCTCCTTAAGTCTATCCAATAGCTACAAATAGTTCCTTTTCAGTTTTCTACACTTGTTCCTTCTATTCTGGATGTTGGCTGCCTTGTTAATTTATATATACTCATTAATCTTCTGCTTTGATATGAAGTCCTCGTAACCAGTAAAATATTGTGTTTTGGGATGCATCAGTAAGATTAAAGGATAGGCCTTTGAAAAGTTTGACTATGGTTACAGCCGGCCGCCTTTTCTCTTGGTTTAGTATATTTTTTAGCTATTTTGTTAAGTATGGATTCTTTGATGATGTTCGTTACAGTATAGACAAGAGCTTAGCGCGGTTCGTCGGGGCCGCAGGAGGGTCAGCCGATGACTTCCGCACAATTAAGCAGTCTCCACTCTGCTGCAATCCTCCTTCGGTCACCGGTGAGACCATTTCATGAATCCTTTCTATTCAACTTTTTTTTTGAAATGAAAAGTCATGTCACAATATATTACTAGGGAATTCTTCGAAACTCATTTTTTCTTCATATCTTTATGACTCATTCGTAGCATTCGTAAGGAAACCTTAACTCCCAGCATATTTTTTGCATTTTTTTAAGAATACCCTACGAGCTTCGATCATTGGTACTTTTATTGCTTAGGTCTTTGTCATATCCATATTGCGTAATCGGAACATGGTTTGATCACTTTTTCAGTCGACAGATAGAGTTGCTTCGCGATTTGAGCAAAGTCCAAACATGGTGTCCTGACGACTAGGTTGGTTTCAGCGACGAACTTTTAAGTCACATGTTTAACCTGCTGTAAGCTGTCGTCTTTCGTATCTGCAATTCCGATCAACGGATCTCTAGCGTCGCATATTTTCGGACGAAGTGAGAATTAATTTTGATTCAACCTCGTAAGAAGTTCCATGCAAATGACTTTTTACATCTACGACTGTTACCGTCTGATACTTTCACCAGCTTTTTTTTCAAGGCTCAGGTTATGCGGAAACTAGATTATCATTAAAAATCCTCCAAATTTTTGTCCAGGGGCTATTAATGTGCTTCATCGATGATTAGAGATTTTATTTAGAGCTTCAGCAATATAATCTTAATCAACAGGATCCATAATATGTTGATCTATCTTTAAGGTTGTTAAGCTGGCTTTAGATGACCTGTCTGTTATCGTTTTTTGGAAGAGTGGCAACAGGTGAAGCCAGCTCATTTATTCCGAAGTGGCTAGCTGATACACGAACCTTACCTGTCGACGCTTCCGTATCGGGTTTTAGACCCACAGCTCTTGATTTGAATATTTATTTCTCTCCTCTGCGCTTTAGATCACGAAAATTCCTCATATCAACCGGGACCCTACGCATGAGGCATCTCTCTGGCAGGGCTACGTCACCAACCAGAGCCCTTCTCGTACCGGCTGGTTTCCCAACTTCACGGTTCGCCTCCTGCCTCCAACCGGAGCTATCCACCCTCATCATCAGTTCCAACCCCATCCCTTGCCACACTCGTTCAAAATATCCAATCCCCATCCTTCGTTGCAGGCGCAGCCACCTCAGCCTCAGCCTATGCCTCCGCCTCCGCCACCGCCACTGCCACCACATACGCATTCCTTCCCTGCCGGCATGACCTCTACAACCTCCAGCCAATCGACGAATGTGGTTAGACTTGATTCGGTGAGCGAATTGGGCTTAATATTCGGTTTCTGCTATTATTCGGTTAGAAGTAAAGTCGAAAACTGTGAAGAAGCACTGCTTTCATACATATTATCTGTGGCATTCTTTAATCATTTTACTGGCGTCTCTCAACTCTTGGAGACGTCCTCTAACATTCATTTGCCTGATTAAGGCCGGATAAGATATTTATTATTATGTGCTCGCCTGATGCTGATCAGACTGATTAAAGAATATAAGAGATTTAGTCTCGAAACTCTTCTTATATACGAAAAATGATTAAAGATTGTTTAGGCTGTTGGCTGGAATCGTTCGTAGGTTGGCGTTTAACTTCATTGGCTTAATTTTGCCCCACAAATTTTTATTTTCCTTCTTCAGGCGCGAGAGCTTTGTCTCATCCAGAGGTTACTTTTATTCGCATCCTAGCCAGACCCAATCCCCTACCATAAATCTAGCCCGGGATCATGTCTTTCTGGGATCACAATATTATCGTCAACCTCGATTACTTCACAGTTAAATCTTTCAGCTCATTTTTATATGAGCGGAAGTTAATTTTTAGAAGGGAAACTGCTATTTTATATATATGAATCCTTACGAGCAATTAATGCGGAACAAAGATGCATTTCAGGTTTTTCAGCTAGTTTGCAGCTCTGGTTATTTGAAGACTAACGGTAGCTTATTATATTTAAAAATCTATACTATAAAGGAGAGAGATAAAGTGAGAATAGGAACGGAAGTAGATAATTTGGGTGGAGTATAAACTTAAGGAAAAGAACCAAAACAATAATATTCCATATCTAGTACTATACTCAAGCTGGAGTAAGTTTTATGCTATGCACATCCTCTCATGCAGTAGGATACTTCGACATCCACAAACCCCTTGGAGGTACTCTTCTTACAGTTCACAGTCTGGACAACATCGTCTTTGTCTCTTATCTATTATACCATTTTTTTCGTTAAGGCTGAAAATATGCACCACATATTTCTTGTTTAGTGAATTCATCCTCCTAGAGGTAAAGAGGTTGTTTGACCTTATTTTCGCAACATGGTCATATTGCTAGGAAGACTAATTGGAACGCACCTAGTTTGGGGTCCATTGTCTGCATGATCATTTCCAAAGTTGAACCGTGGACGAGGAACATTCCCAGACGTTTGGGAATGTTCCACGTCCACGGTTCAACTTTGGAAATGATCATGCAGAAAATGGACCCCAA